TTATTTAATTCAGAGGAGCACATTAGTCTTTTTGTATTTTTAACACAAAGCTAAAAATGAACTTTGAGAGTTTAGTTTTATGTTCTTTGCCCAAAACGATCAACTGGATGTGAATGAAAGGTTCATTAAATCTTCTTCTGCATTATCACACTCACTCAAATTCTTCTACATGTGTTACAGAAAATGATCAATTCCTTATTTGCATCAACAAAGGAAAATGTTTTTGGACACTGACAGCCAAACACGTCCTCTGCAACCTCATCCTTTACATTAATTCCTTATTTAAATCCCAAAGAAAGATTTGCTGAGACGAATGCCAGATGGTGTAAGGATGGCCGAGGCTGCGCCCAAATCACTCACTCATACTGTGGTGACAGAAGGAGGCAAATAAAGCAAAAAGGAGCTTTGGGAAAAGAAACATGGACATGTGGAAGAGGAGAAGGACCTTCAGATAAAAGGCTCAAGGATAAGCCATCATATTCTGCCCGGGATTGTATTTATCAAAGTTAAGGATAGAAAAATGAACATAGAGCACAAAGTAAGGAAGTTTGATGAAATAATAGTTTGCTGTAATATTGCTTTTAGGTGATAAGTCTTGTGTTGTTAAAATGATTGATCACATTGGGAGGAAGACTTTGTACGGATCTGACCATCTGTGGAATGAGCGGCACACCTGAATGTGTGCCTGTATAGATTAACAAGCTTCACAAACAGGACATTGTTCATCATGTGACCAGACTGGTGACCAGGATGAAAACTAGGAGCCATGGCGTTGTGGCTTTCTCTGTGTGGACCTTCCAGATGCTGCTGAGGCTCGTGAGAGATGAAAAGTAGCCTAAATGTGTGGTTTGCTCTTTAGTACAGTGAGAAAGTTGATTTCAAGTACATTTGAAATCACTTCTGACTGAAAAGTAAAATGAAAAATAGACGTTTCTCACGGCCAGGTTGTACCTTTGTGATTCTGGCACAGCTGCGTCTCGCATAGATACGTTATGTTCCATCTCGATTACGTGCTTTTATACTGAAAGTTAGCTTTTGAAGTTACAATACGACACGCACAGCACTTACCTCACCAGAAACGGTTAATGTGGAGCACTTTATGAATACTTTGCATATAAATAAGCCAGCTGATCGGTGGCGTCTCATGGTTACCGTGGCAACAGAGAGGTTTACAAAACGCAATTTCACTCGAGATGCTTGTGAGTGACGTAGAGGCTCGGAGAAATGTTCAATTTCCTTCCAGTGGCACATCGTTCCTGCAGCAGTGAATGCTCTGAGGGTGGCAGATGAAGAAAGGTACCTAAATGAAGAAGGGGTCAAATGAAGACAATAACAAATGATTATTGAAATCATCCAAACAGCTGCATCATGCTGCTTTGAGATCACTGAGATATTCCAGATCTAAGGAACATTAAATGAAAACATTTTCTTGACAACATTTTCTTTATGATCACAAAGTTTAACGTAGAAGATGACTTACGCAATTTTTAGACTCTGGTTTTTGCGTAAACAAACGTTACAAATGATGAATAATAAATGACCTGTGCTTGTATAACATAGGGCTGGACGGTATAATAA